GGACTGCTTGAGTGTTGTATCCCTTGGGCCAATGCCTCCATCGTCAATGTCGTGTATTTTTATGTAGTCGCGAGGACCATGAAATCAACGAGAGAAGAGATCTTTAGAAGTCCGTCTTAGATTTCAATTCGAATGATATACGATAGCGAGGATATAGGGTATGGGAGAAGGAGTGTTGATGACACATGAGAATAATTGAAGGGTAGCGAGTGTGACGAGGAAGCCGCGCATGATTAGCCTCCACGGAGGATGACAGCGAAGAAAGCAACCCAACGTTAACGACTATAAAAACAAGGTGAATGAAATAGGGTATCGAAACCGTAATACGGTTAAGGCTCATGAGTTTCGTCGGGTGGGTGCGTCTCAGTAAGAGGGGCAATGGGGTCTTCCGTTGAGAGGGCCGGTGGATCTAGAAGGGAGGTCAGCCTACAGGTGCACGAATGGGATGCCACGACTCACCATTAGATTCAAGCTTTTCCTCAGATTCTGCAGGCAGCGAAGCCCCGTTTTGTTCAGGAATATCGGCTTTCTGAGTCGACAGGTCCTTCTTTGAGATATGTGAACCTGGAGAGGTCAAATTGTTAATCAAAGGGCCCATTACCCAGATGAGACGCAAGTCCTGACCTTCAGTGAGAGGGATGGACGATTCAACAACCTCGATCGCAGGTTCATCAGCAACATTCACGACAGCAGTCGGTTCCTCGGCTGGCGAATCTTCTACCTTTGCAGCGTCGTGTTCCGGATCTTCAGGAACAACCACGCTCGTGAGCTCCTCCACCTCTGGGTCCTCGGCAGCTGGAGCATCCTGCACATGCTCTTCGGTAGTTGGAGCGGGAAACGACTCTGGTTGCTCTACAATTTCAGGCTCCACTTCCGCATGCACGACAGGAGAGCCAGGAGCCACGGCCTCCGCAACTGGTTCGTCAACTTCAGTTGAAGGGTCTGCAGCTTGAGGTTCAACAACAGGTGCAAGTTCCGCCGTGGGCTGATCAATCTCGGGTTGCATACTGGATATCTTGGGCTCGGGAACAACGTCGGCTTCTGTATGGGGCTGATCTACGAGATCAGGTACTTCCGCAACCGCGGGAGACGATTCGGGCGTGGTGACATGATCAGGTGCTTCCTGGACTACCTCAGAAGCAGATTGCTCTTCGGTAACTGACGCAGGGGGTGAGGATTTCGTGATGGGGGTTGGTTGTGTCGACTCGATGAGAGAATCATCCACAGAAGCGCCGTGATCCACGGGTTCCGCAGGAATGGTCAACTCCTCTGCTGGGGGAACTACAGAGTCTACGAAGGTGACCTCGGGCTCAACATGCGGAACTACTCTCTCCACAAGGGCTTCCTCGAGTTGAGGCTCAGGAACGGATGACGCTGTGTCGGTGGGCTGGGGAACATTGAGGTCCGATTGCGCGGGGAAGATTTCACGAGCGGAGATGGTCTCCGATTCCTCCTCGTTGTCTGGAACAGGAGGGGCTGCGGGTATCCCGGGAGCTTCAGTAGTTGGGGCTGGTTCCTCTTCCGATTCCGCCACAGGGGTCGAGGCTTCTGCGAGGAGAACACCAGTCGGTTCGACTAGGACCTCAGAAGCAACAATACTCTCCACGGGTACAGGGGCGGGGACAGAATCGTCGGCCTGACGGTAAGGAAGTGTTCAGAAGGTTAGAAACGAAATATGAATGATGACTCACATATGCGGCAGATTCAACTGCTGAAACTTGTTCAGGTTCTTGCGCAACTTCGATATGCTCGACCTCAGCTTGTTCAAGCAAGTGGGCGACGGCGACGGGTTCGCTCGTCGACAATGCAACTTGGGGGCCAGGTGTCTCTCCGGCAAGAACGACACTCTCGGGAGCGGGAGGCAAACTCTCACCATGTTTGTCGGTAGGAACTGGCAAGTGGGTGTGAACTGGAATTTCGACCTTGGCCGTCTCAGTTGGCGTCGATTCCTGGATGGGTGCCGGTGTTTCCTGGGTAGGCGCTACTTCCTGGACAGGTACAGTGGGGACCGGTTCCTCGACTGGTTCAGGGAGTAGAACTTTCAGGGTGGATTCGGGGGGTGCTACCTCCTGGACTACGGGGGATACTGATTCTTGGACGGGTTCAGAAGCCACAGTCGCATCTGGTTGAACAGGTTGGACGACCTCTGCTTCTACAACTTGCGCGACCGGTGTCACCTCAGGTTCGGATGTAAGCAAGGGTGCTACCTCCGGTACGGATGGGGGAACTGGCGCAGGGGAAGGTTCCTCGCTCTCCACCACCAAAGCTGTCGCAGCGGCAGCCGTTGCAACAACTGCAGTACTAGTTCTAACTGCAGCCGCTTTCCCACTCTCTTGTGACGAAGGTGCTGGGGCGTTTACACTCACGGGCTTCTCTTCTTCCTCAGCCAGAATTTCACCCATCTCCCCAACTCTCGGTGACACCGCAAGTTTATCCTTCTTCTTCGAACTAGTTTTGCTATCCTGACTTCCAAAGAGGTGGAAACGCTTGAAAGTTGAGCTCTTCCTATTGTCGATGGACGGTCGTGGGGATGTAGCCCTGACAGGCGAAACAGGTGTTTCCACCACAGGCGGGGGAGGTGGGACTGTATAAGCGTGTTCGATCACAAGCCAATTCACGGGTTTGTTATCAGGGGTTTGCAGACCAGACAGATTTCGAAGTTGGCAAACGACGAAGCTCGGCCATGTGGAAGAGATCGGGTCAAGCAAGGCGTCACTCCAGAAATCGACAAAAGCCTCGTCCAACTGAATGAGCGTAATGCTCGCGACCTTCGCTGGCTTCGGTATCGAAATCGGGATGGGAGACATGGCGGGAGGGGTACTCGCAGCGTAGTCTATAGAAGACCGTCGGCTATGACCTGGCGAAGGCCTTCGTTTCCTACTAGATTTACGACTTGGGAACGCAGACGGAGGAGCGGTTTTCTCCACGTCGGTGTCGAAGAGTGTAGCTGCGAGACTATTTCCAGTTCCCAATTCTCCGAAACCGGATGTAGAGAATTGTAGCCAATCCGTCGGGGAGGAAGGGGAGGTAGGAGAAGTAGGAGAGCTTGTAACCGTACCACTTCCGTTGACATGTCCGTTGGAGGAGCGCCTTTCGCTGGGATCACCCATGGAAGACGATCGTCTCCGTTTAGGTTGAGGGGCAGAGATGAGGACAACCGGAGGTGAAGAGAAGGACGAAAATGTGGGAGATAGTGGGGCATCCTTGTCCATTAAATCACGGGGAAGGAGGGAGAAAAGACGTGTGGTTTCATCGGCAAACACCTTGGGCAGCGCAAAGTTATCACCAGTCTCTTGCTCGCCCTCCTGAATGGGCGTAGCGGCCTTCTTGATAGCATCCCACAAAGGATCGTATTCGCCTTGTTCAGCCCCGGATTCGGACTTGAACGCATCGGCAATGATTCGAAGCGGGTCCTTCTTGGATTTGGGACGCGCCTCGAAGGCGAGCTCGTTCTCGATGCGGACGAAAAGGGCGTCATATTTTCGAGTTGTGAACCGAGGTCGAGGAAGGAACTCTTCCCCTGTTTGGCCTTTTGAATACGGGTAATGGGTGACGAGTTCCGTCAAGCGTTTAGGCATGGAATGACTCGCGGCTTCGTCCCTAGTGGAGCGGAACTCGGTCAACGTGCAAAAGAGTGAAAGAGCTGAACACACGTACCTGATCCTGGCGAGGAACAGATGCTCCAATATTCGGCCAGCTCTTTCCCAGCGTGCATAAAACGTATTCCAGTCATCAGCGTGTTCGGTTCTACTGGCCGTGAGGAGCCAGAGCCCGATAAACTTGGTCAACTTGCTTCCCGAAATGCCGTTGGTTTCTGCATGAGACGCGAGGGAGGAGATTATGTCCAACAATGTTGAAAGGAGTTGGGCGTGAGCCGGTGGTAAGAGCGGGATTAATTCATTCGTGAACGCCTTGGGTGGGTAGGCAGATTTTCGCTCCGCTTCGAGGAAAGTGGTGTACCATAACCAATTGGGGGATGTCTTGCCGAATGAGTCTCCTTCGATTCTCAAATGGCGTAAACCCCATCGTAGAACAGCAGCAACGTCATGAGGAGACCGAGCGTCTGCTGTTTCGCTTTCAAAGGCGGACTTGGCGACGACGGGTGAGATTGGTGTGGAGGGGGTATCCGTGGGGGTTGGGGGAGAGATGGAGAGAATGAAAAGAGAGATTAATTTGCGTTGTACGTCAGGAGATGCAGAGTACCAGTGAGGGTGCATGATGCCGAGGGTTTCCAGGCCTGGACGAAATATGAGAGAAGGGGACAGGGGAAGCTGGATAGACTCACCTCGCGCGATGATGGCCTGAGAGCAGGCTTGGATCAGAGTCAAGGCCTCCACAGGACTCAATCTCCGTTCCCCAATTACGGCATCGCTCAGCAATGAACGACCCTCGGAGTCAGCCTCGAAAACTGCTCCGAGCGTCCGAGAACTTTCTTCCTTGAGGCCAGGGAGGTTCAACGACAGATGGGGAGCCTCGACTACTTGCTTCTGCGACCCAAGAGGAGGAGATACTGGTCGAGAACGGCTCCTGAACAACGACGGCAAAACTCCATCCTTTTCCTTCTCCTTGGCCTTTTCCTTCTCTTTGGGAGGTTGGAAATTGGGGATGGAGGGTGACGACGGTGGGGAAATTGCTTCGAATTTCCCCTCTAATAACGAAGGTTGTGAAGTGCGTTTGGACGTTCGGGGAGACTCCTTGTCGTCCCTATTACGTCCAAAGACTTTCGTTTGAACTTTGGCAAGAAACGAGGGCATAGCGTGCCCTGATAAATGTACAAGGCTGTAATCTCTGACTGTCAATCTCGCATGGACGAGCCGAATCGGAGAAAAACGCACCGTCAAGACGTGGGGGTATCCGTTGTTCGCCACGAGCAAAGCTGGTGGTCGATGGTTGAACCCGAATTGGCTAGAATTCTCAGACGCGTCTGCCGCGTGGCTTCCATCATTCGCTTAGCTTTCCCGCTTGCTTGCTCTCCTCGTCAGATACCATCGTCGATGCACGGGTGGCTGGTGTAGTTGGTTATCACGCCCGCTTAGCATCGAAACATGTCGGTTGTCTTGCGCTGCGGGAGGGGAGGAGTTCAATTCTCCTGTTGTCCAAATGTTGTTTTTTGCCACTTCAATTCACTTTAGATTCTCTGGAGGTCCATCGGTATCTTGGAAAGACTCTGCCATCTGAGCGTCGCCGAAGTTTTGGAAGCCTCAGGCGACGCGGGATCCTTTGCCTACTTATTCCTGGTGGGCAAATTTACTTCCTAGTTTTAACCCTTTTCATCCAAGGTCTCAACAAGCTTTTGATCGTAGGCGAAGTTTTATCCAGTACCCCTACCAAGCCCCTCGCAGATTTAGATTGATTTCCCCCCTCACAGAGCCGTTGTATCCAGGTGTTACGTCTCTCCCTCATTTGTAACATTGGCTGCCTGGCGACACTGCATCGACGACATTAGGACGGCACCCGGCGGCTTCAAGTTACGCATGAGGATGAAGGGGCCCCTCTCTTTGACATGGCGGAATGGGCAAGACAAAGTTGAGTTGAGTTCAGAGTTGAACGCTTTGCGCTAAGTGGACGTGTTCAGGATATCACTCAGGTCGAACTCAACCGGAAGTTAACCTCATCATCTAGCATCCACCTTGGTTGCACACACGTGCGAGACACGACGCTGGACATACATGTAACACTGTTTTTTTTCGTTGGCCCTTGCAGTACGCTTCCTGGTCCTTGTGGTGCACCTCCTGACCCGCATATATCTGGTAATTACGAGTAGGTTATCGAATCATTGAATAGCGCCGGAACTATCGTCGTTGTTTTGCCCACGGCGCATGGATTGTTTAACAATCATGGTCGGGAAAGAATTGCGTCTCAAGCAATACTTCTGGCCTGCTGCCTCCATGCTCGAAAACGGGGCTACTTGAGTTTGCATCGTTTGTCACGTGTGCGTTTATGTAGTCGCGAGAACCATGAAATCAACGAGAGAAGAGATCTTTAGAAGTCCGTCGTAGATTTCAATTCGAATGATATACGATAGCGAGGATATATGATATGAGAGGAGTGTTGATGGACACACCAGAATAATTCAAGGGTAGCGAGTGTGACGAGGAAGCCGCGCATAGTTAGCCTCGTTGGAGGACGACAACGAAGAAAGCAACCCAACCTTAGTAACGAGATACAAGTACCGCGCATGATACGCAGGTCATATGGGGTTATTACGACATCCCGACTGGACGGAGGAGGGACCTTGTCGCCAAACCGGCCCAAGAAATCCTCGGAGAACGGCTTTGGAGTAAAAAGCAAAAGGACCCTTCGAGAAGACTCGCCCGCCGGTGCGATACTCGAAGACCCAGAGCCGTGACCTCTGGAAGAAGCACAGAAAGAAGCAGTGAAACGGTAGATCCCGAGGTGCACCTGTTCGCGCCAGGGGAGTGGATGCCCCAGGCCACGGTGAAGTTGAACCTGTACTAGCGGGTCTAAAATTCTTCGATTTGGCGCACCCTCCGCGTAGCCATACCCGTGTCTCAGGACATGTGCAATTCCCAGGAAAGTGTTGTAATGGTGAAGTTATCAACGAGATGAGCAATTTGAGGGACTGGAAGCAAGATTGAGAGCATACGAGCCAAAAAACAGAGAGTTGAGCCACATAGACGCATAACAAAGAGCAACGGTTGCATCTTCACTTTTGTGCGCTGCAGGTTCTGCGCCAGCCAACGGTAAAAAAATTGGCGACATCGGCGGGTCAACATTCCACCAGAGAGACCTCAAAATCGCCAGGTCCACCAAAGAGGGGTAGAAAAGATCATAGCCATAATCTCCAGGAAAACATATCCAGGCTCAACCAGGTAGAATACAGGCGAAGAGGATCGTTGACGAGCTTTGAATTTGCTTGGCGACTGGTAGTTCGAGGTCAAAGTGGCTGGTAGCACGTGGATTAACTTTTTGCCATTTACGGTAACTCGGTCATCGCTTGCTCTGCCCGCGGCCACTGCCAGACTTATCAGCAGGATCAGCCTTGATGACCTGCCCGACTATGCCTCTGTATATATTCTTCCCTCGCTGACCATTGCAAGTTACAAATCGACAGTCAGGTCGCAAAACCCGACAGACGCACAGAATTGACTTTCCGCCGTTAGCTGCCAGCAAGACCGTCCGAAAGCAGCAATTCCCATCAATTCTGAGACCGCTTCAGTTCGAAAGGGACTCCGACGACACTGCTAACGGTCGGGCATCAATATTTGCTGTGGTATCTTTTTTCTCAACCTGTCTATCGATCCGTAACTTGCTGTGACTGCACAACCATCCTACACCACTGTGGCGTCAAATACCCGCGAAATTCACCGTGCAATGCAGTCAAAAGTCCGATTCACTGTGTAAAGCAGTGTCAACTCAGTAGTCAGTGGTAAAGCAGTGATTTCTCGTAACATAAAAATCACTGTAAACTGAAGGGAAAAACCTTAAGTGCAGATCGGATGTTTAAGGACAGCGGAAAGAGCTGCAGGGTACAGATAAATAAATTGGTTTTTGATGGCAGCTGCTCGTCACCAGTGGATTCGAGTAAAATAAACATCATCTATGTAAGGGCGAGCTCCTCGACATAGAGCGCCCGCGCTAGAGGTCCGCTCCGGTCAATAATACCCCACCGCTTCCCTGTGTTGTCATCGGGCACCCTCCCGACAAGACACTGGACTGTTGACATATCCACAACATCCATTTGCCCGAAGTTGGAGTAGTAGTGGATGTCGAGATCGTTGTCGCTTTCGATCAGCTTGCAAGAGCGAATAGCGGCGAGAAAATGGATTGCTGGTTTGTCGAGATTGAGGTTCTGGGATGGCGGAAGACGGATAACAAAGACGTGTTGTAGTTGACCAAAAAATGTCTTCGCCACAAGCTTCGGGGCGATGTTCTTCTTCTTTGCATGGACATCGACATAGGCTTCGTACTGCGAGAATAGACATCCGTTAGTTAACTTCAGGTGGTATCAGCAAATGTATTGTTTGAACATACCCGGATGAAGCTGGCGTCGCGCCTATCCTCGCCGATCGCAGTCATTGATGAGGCATGCATCACATCCCCACCAAAAAGCCTCCGGACTTTACCCCATTGCTCAATCCTAGCTGCATCCAAGTGTGGTCGGATTTTCGCTGGTGTTGTTGAGTATGCTGTAACCAAGCAACCTATGACTTGCGCAAGAAGACCGGAGTCAACGGGTGCGACTCGACGTGGTGGCATCAGAACACAATGTGGATCTGAATAGAAAACTTAGGCGCATGAAGAAAGGAATAATAAAATAGCCATTACTCACATGCTACGTCCGAAAACTCTCCTCGGCAAAGATCTGCGGTGCGAGGTGCTTTGAGAGATAGCTCTTGCCTCAAGTTGTAAACGAGTTTAATTTGAACGAGGCGCGCTGAGTGGAGAACGTGGCGGTCGATGCAAGCATAGGGGAATCTGCGGCTTTTGATTGCAGGTTGGAGGTGGCCGCAGTAACGTTCCATCGGGAATGCCCACGATGTCCAAACAGGTCCACTGGCCTCAATGCTGTCGGCAATGTGAAGGAGGGCATGGATAGTGAGCGGACACGCGGACAGCCGAGATGGTTGACCCTGGTAATAAAAGCTGGAAAAAATAGTAGGGAATCAACAAACACGCCATAAGGCTCTAGCATAATATGCCGTACCTCTCGTATTTCTCCACCCAGCCAATAAAACCTTCTCGGATGTGAGAAATATCTTCGGTGGTCAGCTCAAACTGGAGGCAGAGTCGAAGGAGCTTGACGAGTTCAACAAAGTGGTTGTAGTACTTCGGTTGCTTGAACTTGCGATGGAGAAGAACTGGTGCGATGTATTGTGTCCAAAATGACCACGCATCAGCGCTGCATTGGGATTTATTGACCGCGATATCAGGAAGTCGTGGGCCATACACGTATGGTATTGTTGAACCAGATTGCATCGTCGCGGCACCAATTCCTTCCCACACAGCAGTTGTGAGCTCGTACTGCTCCCGGCCCTGATCCAAGTCTTTAAACTCGCCGGTCCATAACGCAATGAGATTCTTGATTAGATTCTCCCATATGAGGTGCATGAAGTCATATGGAAATGATCTCGGAAATGACAGACTGTGTAAGACACTAAGGAGGGGGATGCCTTTGATCCCATATGTCTTCGCAAGGTTGTCTGCTTCGGTAGCAGTTGCCGCGAACTGAACTTGACGGGCTTGCAGGAGGAACTTGTCATGTGTTCGAAGCGGAAGGTTTCGTGGATCATAGAGTTTGATGGAAGAGGGATTCTTGCGGACAGTTGGGTGGCGAGATCTGTCAAGAGGCACATAATGTGTCGTAGCATGAGAATCAGGCACTCGAAGTCCAAGAATCTTGCAGAGTCGACATGGGGAAATCCCATTGTGCCCCTTCATGCGCATGAGTAACGAGACGGCAGGAATGTCCCCCGAAACCATGATAAGGTAGGCATGTAGTTTAAAGACGGCTCGGGACAAGGCATCCCATGCAGTGATCCCGATCGCGAGGCGGAGGAGGTCCATGATCAGCGGCCAGAGGAACGAATCTAAATCGAGGGGTTTTTTCGGACCAGGGATGACTCCAAAGGCAATGATATTGTCGATGTGGAAGCGTTCTTCTGGGGCGAGGTTGTAGTTATAGCCGATGAGTGGCCATGCCGTTTTCTTTCGACGCTTGAATGGGGCAAATCCGTCCGTTGACAAGCCAAGTGCGATGTCACGATCGTCCTCGAAATAGGTATAGGGGAGTTCTTTATCCCCTACTTGAACCTTCTTTCCCTTGAGTGACCGAAAGTGGTGTGAGTCGAAGACATCTCGCACAACTCCGGGGGTATGCACATGTTCTTTGGCACGATAAGCCAGTCGTTTGGCACTCGAAAGATTGGCGTGCATGGCTGCGAGACGAGGAGCGGGAGGGATGTAGCTGAAGGTGTTTCTTGGTTTCTCGTTTGCGTTTAGTCGAGGCTCGGAGCAGTGGGGGCATTCCACTAGTTCAGCATGTGGGCCAACGAAGCAGATGCAGGAATTGACGCAGCAGTCGTACTTCACAGGCTTGACACCCGATAAGAACGCAGCACGCGAGTATACCTCTTCA